ACATTCAGTCTATCGCTATTAGATTCCGGATATTACTTTATGATGACCTGATAGATACAGAACTGAAGCCATTACTGACATTCCTGTAGACAAGTAATTCAAAGGATTGGCCAAAATGTGGTAACAGCATAAAGACACAATGTGTTCAATTGTCCGAACTTACATCAGAAAGTTAATTACTGTTCTCAAAGTTATGAGACAATATTTTATTGAAGGATCATTCCTGATTGTTCTGTGACCAAGTTTTCTTAATGGACTTCTGTAGAGGTTAATGCCAATAATCAATAGTCAAGAATCTTGCTCACAAATTGACAGGAATAGCTTTTCATAATTTCATGATGCCACAATATTGGTATAATCCAAATACACATAAGTGTATGAGTGTCAATGGGTGGGTTAAATGTGTATGGGCGTCTATAGGAAGGTTACGCATGTCTGGGTGTCAACAGGCTGGTTAAGCGCGTATGGGTGTCAATTGGTGGGTACATTGATAAGTCTGGAACTTAATGAGAAAGGTATTTATTTGGCACAACAAATACCATATTTTCTTGTACATAATATCAGAAATTTTTGAATTAAATTTAAAAGCAAAAAAAAAGAAGTGGGCGTTCATATTATATACAAGGACAGTGTTTCAGAAATTTTCACTCAGCTTTAAAAAAAAAACAAACTTGTTTGAAACAGTAATATTGCAAATAAACTCGGGTAGCACAATAAATAAAACACAATGTCGGTAGGTGTTGATAACAATTGTTTACAAAAAGTATGTATGTCGGAAATATTGGTTTCTATCTTCATTGTTAGTGAAAGAAAACATTTCTTAGTTCCATAGTTTATTAATATATAGAAATATAATATAGTCTATATTTCTGAGATTACGTACTGTAACTAGTTACACTATTTACATCATTCGAACTGTTGTTCCCATCTTTATTGCCATATTCACAGCATTTTGGCTGTTGTACACTCCAGCCTTCTTCAGGTGATATACATCCCCAAGGATACATGGCACAGTGGATAAAAAAAAAAGCATCGGTTGAGTAATCCAAAAAGTGACTTGACCCAGAGTGGAATTCAATTTGCTTCCTGATCACAATTTCAACCTTTTCGAATCTCATGTAGAATGTTTTTCAGTAACCCTCTACCTTCAGTGGCTCTTGGGCCTTGTATAGGAGGAATAAAGTTAATAAAAAAAACCCCCAAAAAACAGACTTGTACTAATCTTTCAAAATGGGAAGGGCAGCTTGTGTTGAAAATGAGCATTTATTAATCTGGACTTGAACATTGTTTACAAATGCTGGTGCTAAGAATAGTAATCCACCATGCAGGCCCTTTTTAAATGTTATGAATGGAGTCTGGTACATTCTCAGTAATGAGGCATCCCGTGAAACTTAGGCTCACAATGCAAGGCAATTGGTCTGTGAGATTTGTTTGACAATCAGTTATCACTGTAAAATTCTGTTTTTAATATTAGGTGTGTAAAAGTTTGCACACCTAATATTAATTGAAAAGAAGAGATTGAATGCAGAGTTGAAAATTGGTTATTGAAGAAAGAAATGTTGGTATCTTCTGTACACACTGAATAGAATCAGCTTGAATAAATGGGTTTATTTTGTAGTGAACCTTTTCTTGAAAGCAAGTTTTTGTTAGTTATATCCTTCCATCTTGGGTATGACAATAAACTACATTCAACAGCAAGGCCTCTGATCAGGAGATCTTGAGGAGCGGAGAATCACAGAGGTTAGGATTGTGCACACAGGAATTGGAGACCAATCTTTGAGCCTCTCTGTCTAGATCAACAACTGGACTGGTTATATAATATTTGGATACCTACACAACTTCACATGGACACATCTCTCTCCGCATGCACGCAAGCACACGCATTCCCTTCCGCTCAGTACATCTGTGCGCCCTATTTATTCAAGGCTCATGACACTTGTATGTCTTGTTTATTTTAGCCACTGGATGCTTTTCTTGTTTATGCTATTACCAGTTCTGATTTCTGCTTACACACTGATGCAGAAGAAGTAAGGCCAAAAGTCTTTCCTCAACTGATATCCAGCATAAATATTTCTTTAGTCTGGTTAAGTCCCAATGGAAGAAATCTGTCATATTAAAATTTTTCCTAAAATATATATTTGGACAGCATTCTTTTCCTTCTTTAGATGAGGAATTTTTTTTTCCAGTTTTTCTATTACAAGGGACTAAGTGTAGAAAATCAAACATGATGATTATTTCAAGTGCTTTTGGCCAATTCATTAACTATTCTGTATTAAATAGAAGTGGTAGTAATTCTAAGATGTATGTGCGCACACTTTCCCTGTAGTGTTATACTTTGAGAGGAGATGGCACAGTACCAGGTAAACCCCCATTACCATGAGAAATTCCATGGTGGATTCAGCCCTGTATTTGGCCAATCTGTTAAATCCAAAGCTAATGTGATTTGTATTGCAAAGCAAAAACATTTTTTGATGTATTGAAAATTCCATGAACAATATTGTTTAAGACCATAATGCATTGATTAACCATGTTCATGAGAATATCTTAAATCCTAGACTGCTTTAAACATTATATAGAAAATCTGATACATATATATTTTACTAGAAATGTAGAAATAATCCACCCATATGGGAGTGGAGGAGTAATGATAGTGGCTTGAATTGAGAAATTGGAGAGCCGAGTTTGAATTCCAGTCAAATCCATTACATTTACTTATGTACTAATACCCTCGGGAAAGGTATGAATCCCCCCCCCCCAAAGCTATGGTTATATATATATATATAGCAGGACGGAGTGGATTCTATAGCCTTGGATTGCATCTGGTCTACTGGAGAAAGAATGGCAATCTACTGTGGGGGGAAAAAATCTGTCTCGTCAGCCATGTATCGAAAGATGCATGATCGCCTAAGTGTGTATCATTCATGGCACATAACTGATATGGCAGTGAATGCCGGTCAATCTACTCGGATGACTTGAGTCAACAGAAATCTGATTCTACAGAAGGATACCAGGAACTGAACATATGCGAAATGAGGAAGTTTTAGAGAAAATGGAATCAGAAAGGAAAATTATACTTAGACAAAGATTTGAAATTCATACATGAGGAAAGATGGCATGGCAAATTGAATGTTCACAGGACATATTGAAGGCATGAGGAGTAGAAGAAAGCAGTGAGTAACCTACCTAACAAGCTTGTGCATATGGTTGGCAGAACAGGAATTGGAAGAGATAGCAAAAAGTCAAATTTTATTAAGAGAGACAGGAAGTTGAGAGCCATGATTGCCTACATCCTGAATGGACTTATTTTTTTTTTTATGCTAATGTTCACCTAATAAAAGTCTCAAGAGCCACTCAAGGTAGTGGGTTAATGTGTGGAGTCTTATTAGTGTAAGAAAAGACAAGCATTAAGAGTATAGAGTTGAAGAAGACTTTAGAAGGAACTGGAAACAAGGGATAAACCTCTATTCCTGTTCAAAAAAATTGGGGAGGTGTGTGAACTGAATGATAGGCAAATATCTCTACTAAGATATAAACTTCCTGTTGGAGGCTTATTTGTAGATTTTCTTTTTGAAACTCCTGTAACAAGTGTTAGTTTCTGTACTCAGTGAGAGAATTTTACCTTTACAAGTTTTTAATTGTTACATTGCTGATGTTAGCATTTTGTATAGAGAAAAGCCTACACACAAATTTACAGAAGAGACTAATGAATTTGCATGCCCAGGTGTTGCTAATGTCAATAAAATATCAGCACTTGGTCTATTTTGGAAATAGAACAGAAAAGTATTCATTGGATAAATGTTTGTACTTTCCATCTTGCAGACATGAACACTTTTTAAATTTTTTTTTTTGGCAGCTGGACAATAAGATACTCTGTCGTTCCAAACTCACCTTCCATGGTTAAGATTTAAATTTGAAGAGCTTAGACTAACAGACTTAGTTTTGTTCTAGAATTATTTCTCATAAGACTTCATAGATTGTTAGTGAAATGTCCTCAGGAAAGATCTCTTTATCACACACATACATATATTTCATATCTTATCACGTCAGTTCAACTGATTTTAAAATTTCTGATACCACTATGGCACAAATACTTCGTTATTTCTATCCAGGGCAACTTGCTTGTCCTGGGTATGGTGATAACTACACCTGGCAGCAATGCCTCCGATTGGGAGATAGGAAGTATTGAGGAGTGTGGAACCAACTTCTATGTATATTAAGGGGACACTGAAGTCAACACCAAGTAGTGACAGTCTGTTTTTTTTTTTTTTTAAATATATTTGGATGGAACCTACCTCTAATTTTCATATGTACACTATATATATATATATATATATATATATATATATATATATATATATATATATATAGTAGACTCTGGGACGTATCCCCTGTGCAAAAAAAAAAAAATATATATATATATATATAATGACAAAAGGAAATGTAGCTGACAAGTTTCATTCTCTGACGGACTTTATCAAGGCAAATGTAAGGATTTTATTTTGTGACAAGTATTTATATACAAGTGCATTAGTATATTAGTTTTTTAAAATTTTTAGGTATAGGAATGCTCATGAATATTTATCAGTTTAACAGAAAAGTCAGGCAAGTTCATGGACATGAGGTGATACAATTCAATATCTAATAAATGTAAGTCAGTAGGTGGTGTCTTCATGCAGCACTCCTATACCTAAAATATTTTAAAAACCAATAACATTTTTGCTCTTGTATATAAATACTTGTCACAAAATAAAATCCTTACATTTGCCTTGATAAAGTCCCTCAAAGGACAAAATGTGTCATCTGAGTTTTCTTTTTGTCTTTATTCATATTGTCTTTACATAGGTATACTCTATCTGAAATGTCTATATACAAACATACATGCAATATGATTAGATGTATGTTTTAAGTGCATGCATTGGGAAATGAGTTACATTAATATTCTACTATAGTTAACTTTTTCACGGATTTTAAATATCCTATTTTTATTCTTCAACTGAGCAATGCCTGTTAGTACAACCGCCTTCTATTGTAGCATCTGTAATGACTACCTGTTGGTAAGTATTTTGTTATAGGAAGATGATAAAGATGCCATACCTTTTTATCTATTTAGGTTGAGGGCATGGATGCAGTTGTCATTTAACTTGCTGACTCACTATGATTTCTCAAGAACATTGCTAGACCCTCCCCACACCCAGAAATATTTCTCATCACAAGGTTATTTTTATTTTTTTTTTATTTTTTTATTTTTTTTTGTGTATGGTGTGGTAGCTGTGATGGGAAGAAGCTGATAAAACAAAGGTATGCTTTAGTCACTAAAGGTATTTGTTGTTGATTTAGTACCTGTATATTTTTTGTATATTTATTTTCGAGAAGGCTCATTCGCAATTTGGAGAGGATGATGAACAAAGTCAATAGACACAAAATATCTACATTATTTAATAAGACATGTTTGAAGGAACAAATGCTGCCTAACTACACTAAATATCTTTTATTTTGTAAATGATTACAACAAAATATACTTTTTTGTGTGTGCATAGTGGACTAAACACTCTGGCACAAGGCCAGATTCACAGAGCACCCTGTGAGGAACTAATTCCTCACGGTTTCTCTGCTAATCATTAGTTCAAAGCAAGTGAATGAATATATTAATAAATTACATTTTGGATCTCTAATTTGCAATATATAAGGTTTGATCTCTATGATTAATATTCACCACTGAATTAAGTGGATTTACAAAGATGATTACACTGAAAAATATTTGTGTAAAGTTATTTTCCATTGTTCTACTATAGACACATACACACATTATAATTTTTTCATATAGATAAAAACAATTTACTCACTACAAAGATGCAACTTCATTTCAGTGCATTTCAATTGCACCTCGACTCGTGAGAACCAAAATGGATGCATCTTGTTGTGAGTAAATTGTTTTTGTCTATATGAAAAAAATTATAATAAATAATTATTGCTCTATCAGTATTGAGCCCTCTTTTGAATTAATGCTGTGAACATTAGAATTTATATATTATTTTCGTTCTCATTACATTTGGAGATATATATATATATATATATATATATATATATATATAAGAGGCACGATGAAGTAGCGGATAGTGGCTCAGATTGAGGAATCTGAGAGCTGAGTTCAAATTCCAGTCGAATCCATTACATTCACTTACATGCTAATACCTTTGGGAAAGGTAATAATCCTCTTCTCTCTCCAGTTATGGGTAAATAGCAGGGCAGACTGGGTTCTATAGCCTTGGATGGCAACTGGTTTAGGAAAAGGACAACTCTGAATTTAAAAACTGCGGAGGGTTGTTTGGGGACCTTGTGGCATGTAGTGCACCAGGACTCTGTATTCGGCCCTTCAAAAAGTGTGCCTGATTCTACACAAAGCCTTCACCACTATAAACAAATCATATATGCTGGTGTCTCGCTGTTGGTTCCTAGGAACTGAGTTGCTTGACCCTCATATGTCAAATACGATGGGAGAGTCTGCCATATAAAATTAGGAGATCAGTCATTTCTGCTGCCTTTTGGTATTGTCAGGCAGTTTGTACCAATTGATTTTTCCAACACTTTTATTTTTTTTTTAAAACTTATTAATGAACTCTTTATTATTTAAAAAAATAAAACAAATGCACAAAACCTTACAACAACCATAATAACATCTCCAACCTCTGCCAATAAGAAAAATCAGCAATAATGACACTTCTAGATCAAAAAACCTTTTGTCTCAAATGTCCAAGATTATGAATCATTACATTCATACAAAAAATTCCTCTTAATTTCATATGGATAAAAAATTTAATTCATTTCAATTAACTCCCTACCAATACATTTACAATGTCCTTTCTTTCCTCTGCCTCCTCTTCCCTTCATAGCATACCCAACATCGTATGTTTGTTTGTTTATTTCTTTAAATAGTAAAACATTCATTTATAATTATTTTAAGCATTAAGAAATCAATTGTTACAAACTGCCTGATGATACGAAAAGGTTGAAATCAAGGTAGTGAAATCGACTGATCTCATAATTTTTTAAATATAAAAACTCTACATGTTAAATTTTTATTTTTCACATGTATATTGAACACTTTTTAATACTACTGTTTCCTGGTCTAATCCAACTCTGACCACGTCCTGGGTAAGGCGTTAAACTACATCCGTGTCCTAGGTAAGACGATAAACTACATCCAGCAACAAGTCTTCTGATCAGGAGGTTTTGAGGTGGGTGAAACCACTTCTTAATTGCTGGTGTTCCCGGGTCCACCCTGACCCAGGGTGGTAGTACCTGTTAGGGTCCCAGCTATGGGCAAACAGTTGACTATTACCAGCAATACAATTTTGAAGGAAAAAATTACCAGAAACAGATTTTTGACAAAACAAAATATTACCAGCAACAAAAAATGTTGTCAGCATTAAATAACCCATTGAGGTTGATATGCCGTAAAACAAAATACCAACTCTGACCATTAACCATTTCAGTATTTTATATATATATATATATATATATATATATATATATATAAAGAATAAAAAACTGTATAAATTCACTTCTGTCATATGTTTAGATTTCATTACAATTCTAATCATGACTTTTTAAAACAAACATTGCTGAGGCATGGAAGTAGTTAAAATAATAGTGGTGTCAAGGGAAAAGAAATCATCCTTTTGACACTCTGTTGCAGACACAAAGCTCCATATTGCCCAGTTGCGATTATTACATTATTCAATTGGGATTAGTATTATAAACATGCTTAGTGCCTACATGTGTTTGAGTAGACCACTTCTTTTTTTATGGTGGAATTAATATCGGTTGGCCTAGAGAGAGAAACTCTTCTTAAAAAAACTGTCATCCTTTTCTCTAATGAGATTTAGCAGAGCTCATTGCACTGTTTTAAAACTACAAGCATGTCTACTTGAACATGTGTACCCATTAAATATAACTTTGATAGTAATAAAAAATAAGAATTTTAAAAAATCCATTGATTCAAAAAAATTAAAATGCAATTATTGCACTATTCAGTTCCAATGTAATTATTACAGCCTTTAGTGAATACCAACTCCAGTGGTTCACCAGATTATGAATGAAAATCATTGCTACTTAAAAATGCAATTTGACCGTTACAACTCTGCAGGCATACATGTCTCCTGGAAATACTAGTTCTCAATATTCCCTGGGCAGATATGTTTGCTGAGTGACAGTGCTTTGTTTCAAAGGGAAAGTACATTTTGTTATATAGGAATAAGGTGTCACTGCTATTGAGTTTGAACATAGATTGCCAGTGATCAAACACAGGCGATCCCATTATTGAATTAAGTAGATCACATGACCATAGAGGAATGCATAAGTAGGAGGTAGCATGACGTCTAAACGATCTCCATTTCTAGTCTATCCTCTATTACTATACAGATTGCCACTTCCAGTCTATCTTCTCTTACGATACGAACTGCTATTCTCTACACTATTCACTATACTATTCCTCTATTTGGATCACTATATAGATTACTATTCGAGCAAGTATTACCAAGCAAGTACCATTACTGTGAGTGTTATTTGAAGGCATCTGACACCAACATTTTTCAGTGACGTACTATAGTTGTATCTGCAATTACAAAGTCTCTACTATAACGAGCCATACAAAAATGACAACGAGTATTCATTGACATCATTAAGCTTGTGACGGGAATTGGGAATGCCTGGATGACAGCCATTTTGTATTAATTGGAATAGTTGTTCGATCAGCAAATTTCGATAAAGTTTTGAAAATGTTTATTTTTTTCCGTCACAATTATGTTGGTAGAGGAACTTTTCATCGACAGTGATAGTGACGAAGAAGAACTTCTCTGATTTACCCACACAGATATTGGTGATGTGTGTGACGGTGATACTGGAAGTGATTCTGACCAAGACTGAGGAATTTTTCAACCATCACAAGCATATGATCACCCATGGCTACCAGAGTTTTCTTCTACTCCTGGACCTTGAAATGTTGATCAAGAAGCTAGTGAAGTAGACTTTTTTTTTTTTTGTCTGACAGTTATTCAATTAATGATAATGGAAACTAAATGATATGCAAATGTAATGCTGAATGTTTGCTTGAGAGTGTACTGTGCATCAGCCTCTTAGAAAATGTATTTAGAATGAAGAAGTAAGTGATTTTTAATTCTGTCTAATTGCAAATATGATAGCGATTTCTATTTGTAGCATGTCGTGCCAGGCAGCTTGCAATTTTGTTGCTGTTTGATATTGAGATGTTTGTTAAATAGGATGAGAATTGTCAGTAAGTGTTCTATATCCTTTCTTTACACTGAACAGGAAGCTCTGAGATTCTTTGCCTGCTTATTGGAATGTAATTCTTTGACAAGCTAATAAGGATGTGCAGATTGGTGCAATAGGTAGAAGCTCAGAATGAGAAATCAAAGCTGAATTCAAATTCTATTCTGGTTCATTATATTGACTTGTGTGCAAATACTCTAGGGAAGCATATGAATCCATTTCCCCAAGCTATGGGTAAAGTAGACTTCTATCTGGAAAAATTATTCTTAAAAAATTATTAAAAAATTGTTAATGTTTCAGCTTTAACCTTTTAGCCTTCAATAAGCCCAAGCATGCCCCATAAATATTGGCTCCCAATGTTCATCAAACCATAACTTAACCCATGTATACTTCGCCATAATATATGATGACATCATTATGGATACAGTGGGACTTTGGCTACAAAACAGTGAGATTTTGGGAGCTGATATTTATGGGGTGGTTTGAGCATATTGCATGCTAAAGGGTTAAATAATCCACGAAAGTTTGATAAGCCAAAAAAATAAAAAAAAACTTAAAAACTAGATGACTGATTCTATTTATTCCAAGTAAATACCTCCCTGGCCATTTATCCTGTTGGATCTGTTAACATTTGTTAAATGCTTACTCAAGAGTTTGTGTGTTGACATATTGGAAAAGACTTTGTACAAAGAAATCATAGATTTTATCTTTGCATATCAATTTAAGTGTCTGAATAGTTTCATTGTTCTCTTTCACTCGTTAGTTTGCACTGTTACAGTTTTATTTACTTCCCTCAGGATTACAATTAAATATTTCTTTGTTGCTCTCTTGTGCGCTCTTCCACATTCTAGTTTTCTCTCTCCCCTCTAGTTTTCTCTCTCCCCTCTAGTTTTCTCTCTCCTCTCTAGTTTTCTCTCTCCTCTCTAGTTTTCTTGCTCCTCTCTAGTTTTCTTGCTCCTCTCTAGCTTTCTCTCTAGTTTTCTCTCTCCTCTCTAGTTTTCTCTCTCCTCTCTAGTTTTCTCTCTCCTCTCTAGTTTTCTCTCTCCTCTCTAGTTTTCTCTCTCCTCTCTAGTTTTCTCTCTAGTTTTCTCTCTAGTTTTCTCTCTAGTTTTCTCTCTCCACTCTAGTTTTCTCTCTCCACTCTAGTTTTCTCTCTCCACTCTAGTTTTCTCTCTCCTCTCTAGTTTTCTCTCTAGTTTTCTCTCTCCTCTCTAGTTTTCTCTCTAGTTTTCTTTCTCCTCTCTAGTTTTCTCTCTAGTTTTCTCTCTCCTCTCTAGTTTTCTCTCTAGTTTTCTCTCTCCTCTCTTGTTTTCTCTCTCCTCTCTTGTTTTCTCTCTCCTCTCTAGTTTTCTCTCTCCTCTCTAGTTTTCTCTCTCCTCTCTAGTTTTCTCTCTCCTCTCTAGTTTTCTCTCTCCTCTCTAGTTTTCTCTCTCCTCTCTAGTTTTCTCTCTCCTCTCTAGTTTTCTCTCTCCTCTCTAGTTTTCTCTCCTCTCTAGTTCTCTCCCCCGTTCTCTCTAGTTCTCGCTCTCGTTCTCACTCCGGTACTCGTTCTCGCTCTGGTACTCGTTCTCGTACTCGTTTTCGCTCTGGTACTCGCTCCGCTCTCGTTTTCGTTCCTCTCTCGTTTTTGCTCTCGTACTCGCTCCTCGTTTTTGCTTTCACTCCTCTCTCGCTCTCTCTCTCTCGTTCTCACTCTCGTTCTTTCTCCCTGCCGTTCTCACTCCTCTTGTTTTTTCTTTTTTTGTCTCTTGTCTCTTGCTTTTTTTTTTTTTTTTTTTGTCTCGTTTTTTTTTTTCCTCTCTTTCATTTTCATTTTGCTTTTAGAGTAATGCAAATACCATATATGATGATTGTGCTTTTGTCCATTTGTATAATAAAGGTATCACCTTTTTACTGTTATTGTTTGTTAAAGTATTTAGAGTGATTCCTCCAGTGCCATTTTATCCAGTCATGGTATGCTGTCCCGACGTTTAATCAAGATATCTAGAGATGAGGCAGTGCTGGGAGATGTAGGTTTATGCCTTTCCAATATGCTTTTGTGTAAAATGAATATAAGCATCATTGGAAATTCAACCCTGTTCTGTTTTTTACCCTTTTACTTGGCATCATATAACCCAAACATCACATGCATAAAATTTTATTTATATATATATATATATATCTCATTATGAATATATATATATATATATACACACACACACACACACTCTTTATGCATGTACCCCTATCTTATCTACAACTGACAGTTTCATGTGGTAATACAATCTTTAGGTGAAGAGGAACAACCAACAAAAAGAATTTTAAGTCAACAGTATGGTTCTCATTCACACACACACACACACAGTCATTCACCCCTGTTGTTCATTGCTCTTAACAAGCAGAATTTTCTCTTGCTGATGGCCAAAACTAATTAAGGAACCTAATTTAAATAATAAACCAATAATATTAATATACAGCCAAGTGTGTCTGAAATTTTAATTTTTTTTTATTGTTCAACACACACACATATATATATATATATATATATATATATATATATATATATATATATATATATATATATATATATATATATATATATATATATATTATTTGGTAATCTGTATGGATAATTCTAAAGACGATGTAATCCAGAGAGCTCAACGTAAAAACAGAGCAAACACTTATTATTAAGAAAAAGACAACCTTAAGAATACAAGGGGGATATAATTTATTTCCTTAGAAAATATATATATATATATATATATATATATATATATATATATATATATACATACATAGTAGGGTGAAAGAATTTCATGGGTATTAAAAAAAACAACAATGGTAATAAGAAATAATTATTGTATGTTATTAGACTTAGACCAAAGCATGAGAAAAGATGTTAAAATAAGAATTCAAACATGCATGTATCCTTTCTCAGTGTGAAATAAATTGAAGATAATTTTTTTTTATTATTTGAACATTATTATTACTGTATTTTATCTCTTGTATTTATTTCATGATCCTACCATATATGTGACATTCAATGCTGTCTTAGCTATCATGTAGTTTTTAATTAGTTAAGGTATTTTTTAAACCAGTTGTGTGGATGTGATGCAATTTATCAAACAATAAGGGCACCTGACTGCACCTGTGTGAGCAGACACTCACTCATGAAGTTATACAGTGGACAATGAATTTTTTCTTTTTCCTCCTATCTTTTTTTTTAATTGCTGTATTCTTCCAAGAACGATGCCAGATGTACTTTTTCATATCACCAACATTCATAAAGCCCATACTTAAAGAATGTAAGATCCACACACTTGCTGATGATGTAACCTAAATTTTCATACATTCACTTCCATGGTTCTATAAAACGTACCACATCCACCAAATATCTTCCAATACACTCAAATATTATGTAGTAATAATAAAAAAATTTTTTTAGTAATAACAGAATTCAACAAAACACACACCCATAAACCCATTCTCACTACATACCAAGAATTTTCTAAAATACACATGATTTTCCTTCAACAATAAAATTTACTTCCAAATTAATAACACTAATTTAGTCTAGTCATCACATGTGCACTAATATTAAAAGGTGCACTTCTCAGAAATATCTCCCATATAAATGTAAGACATGAGTGGCAATGGGGTTTTCATCTTCTACACCCAGTATTAGCAACTGCAATGCACAATAATATTCACAAACACACACACAAAATACCCAATAGAATTCTCACTCACTCACTCTCTCACACACACAATAGAATTAATACATACACATAAAAAAATGTACAAAATGCCCAATAGAATTCACACACACACAATGCCCAATAGAATTCACACACACACACACAATGCCCAATAGAATTCACACACACACACAAAATGCCCAATAGAATTTACACACACACAAAATGCCCAATAGAATTCACACACACACACAAAATGCCCAATAGAATTCACACACACACAAAATGCCCAATAGAATTCACACACACACAAATGCCCAATAGAATTCACACACACAAAAATGCCCAATAGAATTCACACACACACAAAATGCCCAATAGAATTCACACACACACAAAAAAATGCCCAATAGAATTCACACACACACACACACAAAATGCCCAATAGAATTCACACACACACACAATGCCCAATAGAATTCACACACACACACAATGCCCAATAGAATTCACACACACACACAATGCCCAATAGAATTCACACACACACAATGCCCAATAGAATTCACACACACACACACACACACACACAATGCCCAATAGAATTCACACACACACACAAAATGCCCAATAGAATTCACACACACACACACACACACACACAAAAATGCCCAATTCACACACACACACACACACACAAAATGCCCAATTCACACACACACACACACACACACACACACACACAAAATGCCCAATTCACACACACTTACAAAATGCCCAATAGAATTCACACGCACTTACAAAATGCCCAATAGAATTCACACACACACACACACACACACTTACAAAATGCCCTATAGAATTCATGTGTACAAAAGGCCCAATAGAATTTATACACACAGACATACACTTTCCTGACCAATGGAAATAAACAGCACAGAATTCAAAATTCTGAAATGATCTCTTTCATAGCTCATTTCCTGAAACGCTTCTGTTAAAACTAAAATATGAGTGGACTATGAAGAAGTAATGCGAGATCTGTGAAACCTTGCTTGCATTAATTTCATTTCTTATTAAGTCAGATGTCAGTTTACCTGGAAAGAAACAATAATATAAATGAATGTATGCAAGATGTCACTAGCATCACTCTTTCATAGTCATCCTGTGAGTTTTTCAGCCCACCTTTATAAAAGTGAAACCTGTTAAATTTATAAACGTTTTCCTATTTGTCCTTTCTTTAATCGATGACTAATTTTTACTGCACTGTAAATAAATGATAATTTGTGTTTTCAGGTGAAAGAAAAAATGTGTTTTGACTGTTCTGGTGAATGAGAATATCTTGAAACAAATTCTATACTTCAAAAATTCTACAGTTGACAGCCATCATGAATCCATTTGTTAAGTGAGAAGAATTTTAATGGCTTCTCTAACTTTGTGTTTTACTCAGATTAGGCATGCAGAATCAAAAATGCTTAACAATAAATAATTGCCACTTAAGACTCACAAACTTAGGAGTGATAGCCACTTGGCTTTAGTCTTTTTTTTTTTTTTTTTTTCTCCTCCTAAATTCTTACATTATGCCATAATTATCAACAGCTATGATTCTTCCTTTACTGACAAACATTCTATGATAACTTTTTACTTTTAAGCTATGTTCTTTGTCTTTGTTGATTAAAAATGTTAAGCTTTTGGGGTGTGTCGTACTATTATAATTTTATTTGAAACAGCTGTCCAAGCCTTCGTCTATTGTGTCCAAAAGTTATAAAATTAAAAACAACCAGTGAGTCATACTCTCTCAACCATCACATTGAAAATTTTGCCAGACATTATTTTGAAGGAGAAACAGAAAGAAAAAAGGGGTTTCATAGACCGGAATTTTATGTATGATTCTTAGTAAAAGGAACAATCCAATATGTAAATTACAAATTGAAGATACCAGAATCAAACAAATACAACAATTTAAAGATCTGAGAAGGTTTAACAGAGAATGGTGGTACCGAAATCTAAAGGTGCATTGGGATAGTAAAAGATGCTTTCGAAAAGCTAAGCAAAGTATTAAGAAAAAAGAAGAAATTTTGTTGGATACAAAAAAATTGCACTGTACAGTTATGTCAGTCAACCTATATGGTAGTGAATGCTGGACAATCTCTTCACAGATGAAGACTAGAAACAACAGAAATGTGTTTCTACAGAAGGATGCTGAGAATTCCATGGATTAGATAAAATAACAATTTTAGAGAAAATGAAAACAAAAAGGACATTTAAGATCAGAAAGTGATAGTTGAAATTTCTAAGGCATATAATGAGGAAAGAGGGCTTGGAAACTTTAATACTTCCAGGTTGGATTGAAGGCAAGAGGGACAGAAAAATGATGCATGACCTACTTAGTGAGCTTGAGTAAATGGATGGCAGAACAAGGTTTAGGAGATATAACAAAAAGATAAAATTTTTTAAGAGCTATGAAGTACAAGAAGTCGAGGAGAGCCATGATTGCCAACATCTTGATGGCACATGGAAGATTATAAGATAAAAATTGATATTTGATTTTCATTTCTCAAATGAATTGAAAGTTTTGGTCTTATATCCATACCTACCAACCCCTTGGGTCTTTGTGGCTTTTACTGTCTTGCTTGGGGTGAAATTGATTCTAAAAAAAAAAAAAAAAAATTAACAATTTGAAAATTGTATTCCTTTTAATTCTCTTATGTAACCTGTAATATCATGATTATTTTTTTTTTTTTTTAAATATAAGCAACATGGGATTTTAACCCATGCTCTAGTTCAGTATTTCTCAACTAGTGTTACATTGAACTTTAAGATTCTGCAAAAGGTTGCTAGGGGTTCTGGGAGAAACCATGATAAATAGGCTAATGCATTTTTGAGTAATTTGTTTAATTTTACATTTGTTATTTTAATGTACACCTATGGTATATTGTTGGGAAATCCTTGGTTATTTTAAAAGATCGTTATTAATAATTATATGTAATCATTTTTATATGGGATTCCCTGAAACACAAAAACTATTTCAAGGGTAGAAGGGTTGAGAAACCCTTTTCTAGTTGATTAATTTTTGCACAAGAATTAGTACTCTTGTTGCTTAAATTTTCTTATGCTTGTGTCTAATAAATAGAAAAAGAAAATATTTCACTATGACTGAACTAGTAGAATTGGTAAAATTCTTGATTGATTTTTTTTTTTTTATAGTTTATCAACCTTTTGCATGTTATATAAATCCAGGAAATATTCTAAGAATTTTTTCTGATTCCAAGTATTTTTTGGAGGTAATAATTTACTGATACAAGACCTACTAATTAACCCATAGGCAGTGGAAAGAAGAGGTGGATTCAAACCTTTCCTAAGGATATTTGCATGTAAGTGAATATAACAAACCCAACTGGAATTGAAACTCAGCACTCCAATTTTGAATTCCAAGCCATTATCCATTCCACCACCTGCACATATAAGCTTACAGCACCAGGTATTCTCAAGTAGTCACTTATCTCAGTACTGACCAGGCTTAACTTTTGTGATTATACGGTAAGTTGTGTTTTGTGATATGGCTGTATGATGATACAGTTCTTGAATACAGTATGTAAAATGAGTTTTTTTTTTTTTTTTTTAATCATTTCACCCCAAGCAAGACAATAAAGCCACTAGGATGTAAGTGGTTACTGAGTGTTAGAAAATATGAGAAAAACTACTATTAAGGTGAGAAGACAATAAAAGAATGAGAATTAAGACAGAAGATGACGATTGACATTGCACTTTAATCATTGAGAATCAAAATTGACTGGGAAGCAAGAATCCAGAAGAGAGTTCCATAAGCAAGAAGTGGGAGAGAAACTGTTAGCACAGAATTTACGGTTACATCTAGACATTTCAACTGTAAATTAATGAGACCTTGACTCCAATCTAGTACTATTTATCAGTGGCTGCTCGGTCTCACGTTGACTGCTGACCTGAGATGGAACAAATACATTGAGTCAATTGCCTCGTCCGCCGCAAGGAAAGTTGGCTCCCTGTGCTGCGCCAGGAAATTTTTCTCCCCGGAATCGATCCTTCAGATCTACAAATCAACAATTTGCCCCTTGCATGAAGTATTGTTGCTATATATGGTCTGGAGCCCCTTCTGTTTGCCTCGGGGTTCTTGATAAGCTCTAGAGGCAGATATGCAATATAATTGGCCCTGTTCTGGCATCTTGTCTACAGTTGCTCTCTCACAGACGCGCCATCACCTCTCTGTCTTTTTTACAAATACTTTCATGGCAATTGCTCCGAGGAGCTACATTTGCTGGTTCCCAGACTTCATGAATTCAAGTGCCCTGCGAGGCTGGCATCCTGCTCTCACCCTTTCACTGTCGAAACTACTAAATGTAGCCGTCTCTTCTACTCCAATAGCTTCATGTCTCGCACCTCTTGCCTGTGGAACTTCCTTCCCTATTCCAGTTTCTCTGAGAGCTATAATCTCCAACTATTCAAATGTAATGTCAATTGACATCTCCAGCTGCCTTGATCTATCCTTCTCTTCATCCTTTCGTCTATCACTCCTATCTGATCTTGCTCCAAATCTTCTGTAACCCTTTGCGTCCTAGTGGATTCCTGCCTTGCTTAGGGTGAAACGCTTAAAAAAAAAAAAAAAAATTTCTTTCCTTTGACTTTGTTTTAGTTGTTTAAGGTTTAGTAGACAAGAAAAATGTGTACTTTGAGAGTTGAATTTTAGTCTTTTAAATCTGTTAAATACCTTGTCACATAATGTAATCATCTGATCTGAGTTGTTGATTAAATATCTTGCATACTCTTGTGTAATAGTTATGAAGTTGAATTGACTTTGCTTAAATCTCTTTTTTTTTTTTTTTTTTTTTTTTTTTTTTGCTTATGGCCATATCATGTTGAAACATTGGTTCACATCCGATCACTGAAGCTAAGAAATGTCAAGCCTGGTTACTATCTAGATGGGTGACCAATTAGGAATACTACATGCTGTAGGATCATGAATTTTTTTTTTAAATTGTTTTTACTTAAATCTCCTTTTGACTTTCATTCAATCACCAAAGTTAAGCAATGCAGAGCCTGGTCAGTACATAGATGGGTGACAGCTTGGGAATACTAGGTGCTGTACGCTTGGACATGCAGAGGATGTTGTGGATAACAGCTCCAAATGAAAAATCAGAATGTTTTCTATGGGCACATTGGATGAAAGGAGTTTTCTGTTGCGGTTGTGAGTAGGGGACAATTGTCATCTTAGACTCTTTCTTTCCATTGTAGAAATGTCCATTCTACAGTGACAATAACTTATCTTTCTGTGCTTGGCTTTGCGGCAGTGTGTAATGTTTGGCTGCTTCTGGGAGACTGGTGTGGCTGGTAGACTTTAATTGACTGGATTGTTTCTTTGCATGACTTACATAAGTCATTTTTATCTATGATGGCTGAAATTGTAGAGTCATGATCATTTAGGTCCTTCAAGAAAAGATTTTGAAAACACCAAATGGTAAGTCTGATTATAATAACTAGAAGATAAAAAGTTGTAATCTTATATACATATATATTTTTTCATTTTTATTTCTTTTCCCAAGTTGAAGTGTATCCATATTCATAGTTCCTTCTAAACATTACACATCACTTCCAATAAGAACCAGGTGCTTTCAAAGACCTTCATTGTCTTAAGTTTCTTGATAAATGGAACCAGCTTTGGGACAATCTTTTTTTTTTTATTTTTTTTTTTCTTGTAAAAGATTCTTTCTTCTAAAAACTCAACTCTGTTTTTCTTTATATAAAGAGGTTTTGAAAAATTCTCATCCCAGTCAAAAAGAATTGTTTGGTCAGATTTCGAGATGTGGAATAAACTAAAAAGATTGTAATTGTTGTTTTTTTTTTTTTTTTTATTTATTTATTTTTTTTAATTGATGTTCATCCTGTATAAGGTCCGGGGGAGTCTCTCAAGGTAGAGGGTTACAATCTATCTGATCCTATTTATATCATTGGAGTTTGGTAATTTTGCTAATTATGGTACGAAATGAGCAAGTCAAAACTTTTGTGGAGGGGATCATATTTTATACTGGCAAAGGCTTTCTTTTTTTCTAAGAGGTCTCATATATATATATATATATATATATGGAAAACTTCTTGCAAACATGTTTGTTTGAATAATATTCTCAAGTTATGTTTATCCAATTTTTTAACTTTTTAAATTTCTGAATTACTTGTTTCATATAATTATTAAATTTACTAAAGTACATATTTTTATTTTTTATTTTATTTTATTTTTTTTTTGTAATTTTGAATGTTGCTGTATTTATTTATACATATTTATGCAACTGTTTTAGGATAATTTTGGCATTCCCACATTTTCAAGTCATTCAAGGTGATGTCATTTAGACAGTAAACTTGATTTTTTACGTATATTTTTTTTTTTTTTTTTTTTTTTTTTTTTAGAAATATGAACTGTGGTAATTTACTGGCTTCATAAAACAACTAATTCAGAAATTTGAAAAAGTAAAGTTAATAAAAAATCTGATAGACAAAACTTGTTGATATTATTCACCCCCCACTCACATTTAATCATAAAAAGCACTCACTCTAATCTGAAATTGTTTATTAGTTTTCACACTAAGTTGATCTAGAGTCAAAAGTTTTTATATATATACTTTCTAAACATATATATGGGAAATTAAAAACAAAAACATACCAAAAATATCATGAAAATAATGAAAACAGCATCAGCTTGCAATAATAAATCCAAAAACTGTAAGCTCTGTCTGGAGGAGAAAATAGCTATAATTACTTTCCCAGACTAACACAAATTGTTAAATGATAAGAACTCCTCTTAAAATGCAGACATGAAAACAAACTTTTACTACATTACTTAAACGTCTAAAACTAAAAACAAACAAAATAAATAAAGGAAAAAAATAAGTATAATCAGTTAATCATGTGATATTTGGTGGTTTGAAGCAACAAGGTTCATTCCTGCCACTGCCTGCATTAAGATGCTAACCATTGTGGTCAAGTCCTTACTTTGAAAGGTTAGCTAAGAATATTAAGGATCATATCATCTACAACCTTTTCTGGTTTGACTGTTATTCACTGGTTAAGCAATATCAAGTCTGATCAGTACCTAGTGGGTGACTGTTTAGGAATATTTGGTGTTGTAAGCTTGGATGTGCAGGTGATGTAAATGGATAACGGCTCAGAATTGTTAATCATAGAGTGGAGTTCCAATTTCCGTTGGGTACATTATATTTACTTACATGCAAATACTCTTGAGAAATCCAGCTCTTCTCCCCCCAGCTATGGATTAATTAGTAACATTTGTATTACTAAGAACATTAGCCCTTCCCCCAATCCTTATCTAAAAATATTTTCTGGCTTTAAATAACCAGTACAGTATTGATAAGCCATAGAAAATGAATCATTCAATTAATCATTTCCTCAGTGGGGCGGAGGTCAGAAAAGGAGATATTTTACTTTTTCTTATTTTTATTTACAGAATTTTGAGCCCATTATAAGTGTTACAAAAAAACCTATGAAAAATAATGAATATAAATGTATATGTACTAATATGGGAAAGAATGAAGATTTTTAATAATTATACATATTATTTGGAATGCACTTTTTGGGTCAGACACTCTTGGAAGGTGGGCTGATGACATTTTGACTTATGGTGAAAAGGGTGCATTGGATAAAAAAGGTTGAACCACTGATCTCGTCTTAACATATCTTTGTCAGAAATCATATGTAGAGAAAAATCCTAAGAATAATGTTGTGCATGTCTGATTTAAATATCAACCTTAAGAAGAATAAATCCTTGAAAATGACAATATGTGATAAGCCTGTATTTGGTGATAAGATTAGTGGTCTTTTTATCTGAACAACCATAGCATCTGAAAAATGAATGATAGGCTAAACGTTGCCAAGAAATGAACCTTTGTGTTTGCCAAAAAAAAAAAAAATGTGTCAAAAGGACAGTTATTCCTGTGATACCACTATTACTGTATACACTTTTGACTCCCTCAGCAATGCTTTACAAGATTATGAAAACAGTATCAAAGAAACCTGATCCAGTGACAAGAAACAATCAAGATAAGTAGAGACTGCCTGTGTCACAAATAGTGTGAACACTGATCATGTACAGAAGTACTGACTTTTTGGTAAAATATACATACATACAATTTCTGGGCAATGGATTGAAATATGAAAGAAAAATTGGCAATGTTTAACCTTTGTATCTTTTCTGTATAATTCTTAGTTCATGTACAAAGTTGTTAATATATTTTCCCAGCTTTTTTTGTATCGAATTAAAGACAAATTATAAAAAAAAAAAAAAAAAAAACTGGGAAAATATATTAACAACTTTGTACATGAACTAAGAATTCTAAAGAAAAGATACAGAAGAAATATTAATGGCTTTTTTAAAAGTCACTTATTTTCTTTCTTTCTTTAAATGAAAGAAACATTAGCTTAGGGAAAAAGTACTGTTTCATTATTTAAGTATACACAGCTACACATCCATCCATCTTTCTTTTGTTTTTGGATTTGATGAAGCCATGAATGCCAAAACTTGTAATCAAATCTATTTTCAATGAAATGTTTTCCATCTTAAATTTCTTAAAGACTTTGTTGGGATTTATGTATCCTATTTTAAAAACATGTGTGTAAAAAAAAAAAAAAAAAAAAAATATATATCGGTAAAAGGACAATATAAATAAAGACAAAAGGAAAATTTATCTTAGCTGATTTGTTTGCTTTGATAAAGTCTATCAAAGGACAAAATGCATAGGTAAAGATAGGTTGTCCTTTTGTTTTTATTTACACACATTACATAAGGGTTAGCACTTTGACTTGAAGCACAGAAAGATGGTTGTACAGTAGGATACTAGGAATACTATACTTAACATGTGAGCAACATGGAAGTTTTAAAGAAAAGGACATTTGCAATTAGAATTGGAAAAGAGCAGTTGAAATTTCTGGAACTCATAATGCGGAAAATTGACTTTCACAATTTGACACTTGGAGGACAATAAAAGTGGGAAACCTTGACTAACCTACTGAACAAGCTACTGGGAATGCAGTATAGTGAAATTGGTTAACTGAAACTGTTGCGATGCTATCAGTGTTTGTGCTAGCATGAAGTCACAAGTCATCACGACCGAGGGTTTGAGCATACTAGCTTTCTTGAACTACTGGTCCTGTCAAATTATGCATTTTCTTCCATAGATTGTGCTGTCTCATCATAGTTACAGTGTAAACTAAAGTTGTCTCTGTGGATGCTGAAGAAAGACAAATGTACCTGAGCATGGATTAGCTCTCTATATTTGCAAATTGGTGGACTCTGAAATGAACAAGCCATAATTATAATATAGGTAAAGTTGGTTTAAAATAGATATTCTTAAAATGATTTTATGACCATTAAAAATTCATCAGTAATACAATATCTTATGCGAAATGCTTTGGACTGAACCTGTTTCAGAAGTTAAAATTACTCAGGATGGCAGATATTGAATATGAATATTGCAGCCATATCTGGTCTGGTGCTTCTATGTATAATTAGAAACTCTGGATAAAATACAAAGAATTTGCTATGTCATTGGTTCTAACCGGGCATCTCAACTTTGTAATGCAGCTTCTCTGTGCCTTTGCACAATTATTTTCATTCTAATTATTTTCATGAGCTTTCTACTTTGGTATCTAGGCTCTGAATTTAAGTGCAGTAGTAGATTGACAGAAAGTGCATTTGAAATTTCTATGCTAACAGTTTCTTCTCTCTCTCTCATATATATATATATATATATATATATATATATATATATATATATATATATATATATATATAGGAGACACAGTTAGTTTTTTTTTTTTTTTTTATTTTAAGGGAATTAGCAGTGTCTCTGCAATGAACCATGAGCTAAATTAAAATTGTAAATACTGTTACAGTTTATTTGTACAGTTGTTAATGAAGTAAGATATCAACCATGAAATTAGTAGCATATTTTTCCTCCCCAATGTTAATTTTCAGTTTTCAGAATTTGGGGTAAAATATTGTGTACTTGTCTACCTTCAGGGTTAAATTATTATTTACCTATTTAACTACTTTTCTGCTGCTGTTGGCTTATGTCTATATGAAGCTTAAAACGCTTGTTGTCAATACATTATTGTGTAATACCTCTCTCTCTCTCTCTATATATATATATATATATATATATATATATATATATATATATATATATATATATATATATACACACTTATTATTATTAAAACGTTTTTATTATAATAGATTGTAATAAAA